AGCTTCATGAATAAAGCAGCGAAACTTTCACATCTCGTTAAGACAAATTACACGAAGTATGTACGATGAACTTTTTCCTTGCGTTACATCGTATTGTTGCATCATCTCCAAACAGTCGTAATTTTATTAATTTTTAAATTTCCGGGTTGGTGATTTTCTCTTGTATTTTTGGCATCAAAAGAATTTGAACAAATTCCGAGAGATATTGATTGATACAACCTGTATACAGAGGTGCATAAGTATATAGTGTAAGCAACTGAAACTGATATTTGAAATTGAATTGAATTGTTAAAAAAATTATATATGTGCGAGTCAAGTGACATTTTCACGCTTTAATCGGCTTGGATGTTTGCGACGAGGCGCGTATAAATGCCACGTGACTGGTAATGCAAGACATTAACCAGTTGCAAGTCAATTTAGCGCAATATGTATTCTATATCGCATTAAGCGAATGACGTCGGTCTTAATTTCTTAAGTTCTTAGCTATTCTAGCGAGACACATTCTTTCCCGAGTAACATTCTTTCCCCAAAGATTTGCTTTTCACGACTGAGAAACAGCTGTTTACTTGCAACTGTTGCCTCTATTTTTTCGTGAATATTCGTACATTTGGCCATCAACTTCATTTGGTGGTAAGAGAGGAAAATGTACGTACTTTTACCACGTTCAAGACAAGCGAGAAGGAAAACAAGCGACTGAAATGGAAAAAAAAAATGGGTTGCAGTGAAAGTTTTATTTACTGTGTTCAGCCAAGATGACGAAAGAAAAAAAGAGAGGAAAAAAAGAAAGGAATGTGAACACGATGGCCAACAAGCCAAGTTGGTCTCAGAGTCTAGTTGTATATTTTGCATTTATGCGATTTATTTGCGAGTTTATTCGCAAAGAGTAGCAGAGAAATTGTTTCGCTGAAACGAGTCTCTTTGCACGACAACGACGTTGGAGTCTCTGTTAAAATTGACATCGCACTGATGGGATATTGATTGAATGTTAAAGAGAGCGAGGAAGAAAAATTAATGCCGCGTTTAATGCCGAAGAAAGCCGATACATCCAGACGCAAGCAGCGGAGTCGCTCGGAGTCGGACGAGATAGCTGCACTTTGAATCGAAACGAGATGCCGTTGGAGCGCTTTAGTGCCCGTGCCAGTCCTCCGTTGGCGATAAGGAGACGGCAGAGAGAAAAGAAAGAATTGAATGTAAAATCGAAAGGCGAAATATCAAGGCCCGTATTCAGCGAGGCGTCACTGGTGGCTCCGGCGCGGCCTCCGTTTCCATCTGTAGCTGCAGCTAGCCGAGGAATTGAGCAAGCGGGCGGCGGTGCCTTGCCTTGCACCAGTGACGTCATCCCCGGCTACGGATCCGCCGGATCCAAGATGGCGATCCCTCATGTGTTCGCCAGGCAAAATCGGCTAGCGGCTGGAGAGCAGGAGACCGGTTTTCGACGGAGGGACGGAGGGACGGAGGGACGAGGCGACGGGGGGGGG